TAAATCGAAAGGTATTATCATCATCATCATCATCATCATCATTATCATTATTATTCTATGGCTTGTTGCCGTAATAAATGCCTGCCTGCCTATATATATTCCTTCTTTTCCTTCTGTATCCCTTTTATATTATTACCTTGTTTTCTAAAATAAAAAAAAAGCTTAAAAAGAAGAGCTACAAGACTCCTGCTTATTCTTGAAAGCGCAAGTCTGGGTGGAGCACTTTGAAGTCATACATGGCAAGCTTCAGAAGGATTCCTCGTGTGCAATTGTTTCATCTGACAATATCATCATCCTGCCTCCACCACGTTTCGGTGGGCGGTGGGAAGCAACCACCTCAAAGTGGCTTGCAGATTCATCCACAAAAAGATCACCGGGTGTGTTTTGTGTCTCCCTGCAGGTGGGTGTCATGGTGTCTTCAATCACAGCAAGCAGACACAAGGCCTTTTTGGCAATGGTGCTACTGAGCCTTACCTTGCTCAGCTACATTATGCACAGTACAGAGATCAAGGTAAGAGGGATCCCATGAGCAACCTGTGTGGCATCTCTTGTAAAAACAGGTTTCAGGAAGCAGAGGCAAGAAAGACCTTGCCTGGAGACACAGCGGCAGATGACCCTGGGCTAAGTCTGACTCAGTAGGCAGCTGCTGCATAGAGAAGTCACCCGTTCCCCTAGTCATAGAATGGTCTTCTTCTTTGCCCTGACCTGGATGGCCCAGGCTAGCCAGACCTTGTCACATTTTAGGAGCTAAGGAGGGTTGGCCCTGGTTAGTACTTGGATAGGAGACCACCAACAGAGTCCAGGGTCGCTATGCAGAGGAAGGCAATGGCAAACCACCTCTGAACGTCTCTTGCCTTGCAAACCCCATAAGGGGTCCTTGTGAACAGTGTTCCCTCTAAGCTGAGTTAGTGTGAGCTAGCTCAGTTTTTTAGCCTCCAACTCACACATTTTTGTCTTAGGTCAGGAAGGATGGCTCCAGAGCAAACTAATTTATGCAGTAAGGGTAAAGGTTCCCCTTGCTCAAAAGCCAGTCAAATCCGACTCTAGGGTTGCGGTGCTCATCTCCGTTTCAAAGCCGAAGAGCCAGTGCTGTCCAAAGACGTTTCCGTGGTCATGTGGCTGGCATGACTAAACACCCAGGTGCACGGAACGCTGTTACCTTCCCACCGAAGTGGTACCTATTTATCTACTTGCCATTTCTTGCTTTTGAATTGCTAGGTTGGCAGGAGCTGGAACCAGAGACGGGAGCTCACTCCGTCACGCAGCACACTCGGGTCTCGAACTGCTGAACTTCCGACCTTCCAGCCTGCAGTTCAGCATCTTAACCACTGAGCCACTGCAGCTCCCTTTTTATGCAGTAGCCACCTCTGAATGTCTCTTGCCTTGAAACCCCCACGGGACTCTCACCATATTTCGGCTGTGACCTGACGGCACTTCCCACCACTACTGCCTAGGGCTGTCAATCAGCTAAACAGTTTTGATTGGCCACCTGCCTTTTCATTGATTATGTAATTGATAAAAGTGATAAAGTACATTTGTGGGCTGCCAAAATCTGAAGTGCATTTTTGGAAGCAAAAGAGCCCTTTAACATAGAAACAGGGCCTATAATCTGCAACTTCACTGGTGGAAATGGATCCCGATCAATCAGTGAACAAAAACTAGTTAATGTTTGCCCCTCGATTCATTGTAGAAGAAAGAGAGGTTTGCCCAGGAATGTCACCATCTGCAATGGAAGTCCCACCCCAGCCCCAAATATGGTTCCATTTGACAAACCTTGATGACAGTGAGTGGAAACAACAAATCCTTGCACGTTTCCTTTAGGCCAGAACTACCACCTAAAAGCCCATGGGCCTTGCCAGGCACTGTGCCGTGTCTAAAAGGGCCCATGCATAGCACACTGACCACATTGGGGGCTTGATGGAGCATGCATATTAGTCCCATCCTGCAGGCACTTCACTGGCTATCCATAAGTTACCGGGTTCAATTTAAGGCATTAGCTGTCATGTATAAAGCCCTTCAGGGCCTTGGAAGTTTCAGGAAGCAGAGGCAAGAAAGACCTCCCCTGGAGACACAGGGGCAGATGACCCTGGGCTAAGTCTAGTATACAGCTGCTGCATAGAGAAGTCACCCGTTCCCCTAGTCATAGAATGGTCTTCTTCTTTGCCCTGACCTGGATGGCCCAGGCTAGCCAGATCTTGTCACATTTTAGGAGCTAAGGAGGGTTGGCCCTGGTTAGTACTTGGATAGGAGACCACCAACAGAGTCCAGGGTCGCTATGCAGAGGAAGGCAATGGCAAACCACCTCTGAACGTCTCTTGCCTTGCAAACCCCATAAGGGGTCCTTGTGAACAGTGTTCCCTCTAAGCTGAGTTAGTGTGAGCTAGCTCAGTTTTTTAGCCTCCAACTCACACATTTTTGTCTTAGGTCAGGAAGGAGGGCTCCAGAGCAAACTAACTTATGCAGTAAAGGTAAAGGTCTCCCTTGCTCGAAAGCCAGTCGAATCCGACTCTAGGGTTGCGGTGCTCATCTCCGTTTCAAAGCCGAAGAGCCAGTGCTGTCCGAAGACGTTTCCGTGGTCATGTGGCCGGCATGACTAAACACCCAGGTGCACGGAACGCTGTTACCTTCCCACCGAAGTGGTACCTATTTATCTACTTGCAATTTCTTGCTTTTGAATTGCTAGGTTGGCAGGAGCTGGAACTAGAGACAGGAGCTCACTCCGTCACGCAGCACACTCGGGTCTCGAACTGCTGAACTTCCGACCTTCCAGCCTGCAGTTCAGCATCTTAACCACTGAGCCACTGCAGCTCCCTTTTTATGCAGTAGCCACCTCTGAATGTCTCTTGCCTTGAAACCCCCACGGGACTCTCACCATATTTCGGCTGTGACCTGACGGCACTTCCCACCACTACTGCCTGGGGCTGTCAATCAGCTAAACAGTTTTGATTGGCCACCTGCCTCTTCATTGATTATGTAATTGAAAAAAGTGATAAAATACATTTGTGGGCTGCCAAAATCTGAAGTGCATTTTTGGAAGCAAAAGAGCCCTTTAACATAGAAACAGGGCCTATAATCTGCAACTTCACTGGTGGAAATGGATCCCGATCAATCAATGAACAAAAGCTGGTTAATGTTTGCCCCTCGATTCATTGTAGAAGAAAGAGAATGTCACCATCTGCAATGGAAGTCCCACCCCAGCTTTAAATATGGTTCCATTTGACAGACCTTGATGACAGTGAGTGGAAACAACAGATCCTTGCACGTTTCCTTTAACCTCAAGTGGTCAAGACGCTGAACTGCAGGCTGTGGAAGGTCAGTAGTTCAGCAGTTCGAGACCCGAGTGTGCCGCATGATGGAGTGAGAGCCCGTCTCTGGTTCCAGCTCCTGCCAACCTAGCAGTTCGAAAGCAAGAAATTGCAAGTCGATAAATAG